AAAAAAAAATCGTAATGCTATCTATGAATATAATAGATATTCTTCCTTAATCACAGGCTTTGTTTCTCTATTTTGGCATGTCATTATGCTGTGCGAGTGCCCACTGCATAGCACAATTTGCCACATAAATATAGCCCCATATTGTTTAGCACTATGTAATTTCTTGCCTTTTATTATTCTTACCACTTTTAATACACTGGATTTTCCTTTTGGTTTGTCGATTTCAAATAAAGCCGGTGGGTGGGTGTGATCCCTCTACAAATGGAGCTCGGGGGAAATTACTATAATCAATATTATTTGATTACTTTATATTATTTTATGTATAATCTATTATTATAACCTTATTCAAAGAGTTTACCAAACTATAGTCCAAGATTTATTCTCAAAAGTTTGATAATGTTAGGTATAATATTGTAGAGTATTATATTTAAATATTGTTGCATGAACAATTTAGTATATTTTTTATTAACGGTTGGAATTAAGTAAATCATAGTTATCCATATAAACCTTCACCCATAATATATAAAGATTTAGAGTTAGATGACATTTAATGTGATTGTTATATATAGTTTAAAATAAATAAATCAATTAAAAAATTCTTCTACTTTATAAAAAAATATATAAGAATCAAAAAATATATAGGGAGCTCGTCATTCCGGATGAACCACGAAAATCGAAAAAACCGAATGGAAGTATTTGCAAAGCCCATCACAAGAGCCATCACAAGAGAGCCATCACAAGAGCTTACAAAGTGTACAGATACAATTTGGCAAATTTGCACGTTTGCGTTAATGCTTTACAGTTATTTGCATATATACTTAATAGAAAACTTATTTGCACTTGTACCTAATTTAAACTAATCATTTGTATTTGTACCGTATCTTGAGAAACGGATAAGAAATAACTACTTACCATAACATATTCCCCTAAACCGACGGGAATGGATGATTAAATTAAAAAAAAAGTATTATATGGCAATTAATATATGTGCTGATGTTTCCTAAAAAATCTAAAAAAATTAAAACACTCTCCTAAAATATGGTCGATGTCCCGATGTGTCCCGATCTACCGCCAACTTGAATTACGAGAAACTCGAGTGTATATTTTATGTATCTTTTATATATATGTGTGTCCGCATCTGCAGTCAACTTAAATTACGAGAATCTCGAGTGTATATCTTATGTATATTTTACGTATATGTGAGTTTTGAAATCGATTTTAAGAAACAATTCAAACTCGAGTATATATTTAAAGTATATTTTATGTATATGTGTATTTCGATCTATCGCACCGGATAAAAAAGGAGACAAGAACGGATTATATACAAAACATATACTGAACATATAGTCATTATATACAGACATATATATATAGAAATAAACTGATATATCATTATATACAACATATATACAGAACATATACAAAGAACATTATACACCTCAAATTTGTAAAATAATTAGCAATACATACGAAAAAAACAAACCAAGGCCNNNAAAAAAAAAAAAAAAGAGAATCGGTCTTCTTCATTGAAAACCAGTGCAACAAGAAAATTTTAATCTAGCAATTCTCGATGGTGTTTGAGAATGTTGTTAACACTCGCCGGCATCTCGAACGGAGCGGAGCAAAGTCAGTTTCTTCTTCTTCCTCGCGCTGACCCGACTTCTCATGCTCTCCGAAATCTTCTTCTCGTCCTCACCGTCGCGTCCCGTGGTCTTGACAGTGGAAGGGCAGATCTCGACCCCGATAACGGACCACCACGTTCTTTTTTCTTCAGATTTTTCTTCTCTTTTTCTTCAGATCCGAACAGAGAAAAAGAAAGCCCAGCGATAGAATTTTCAAGTCGGGATTAAACTTGGATCTCAGCATAAGGTCTGCTCGATCGAACGGTGATGGAACGGAGAAGAAGAAGAAGAAGAAGAAGAAGAAGAAGAAGAAGAAGAAGAAGAAGAAGAAGAAGAAGAAGAAGAAGAAAGAAGAAGAAGAGACATATACGGATAAAAAGAATGGAGAGAAGAGAAAAGAAAAGAATCCTCATTAATAGGAAATCAGTATGTGCCAATAACTGCAATATCACGTCAAATCCGCCACTTCCTTAATTAAATATAATTGTGCGTATAGAATTCTGGTATTTATGCAAATAATTTACCTAGTTTTGGTTATTTTGTTAATAAATACATATAGAGTGTAAATATATAATAAAAAATATTTTCTGTAGTGGAGTAGGTAATTATCTCATACAATTTTGAGGAGAAAATTTCCGCTTCTTTCTCTTCCACGCATAAATTTAAATTCTAATTTAAATAGTGAGATCTAGGACAAAAATTTCAATTCTTTTTCCACGTAACCAAGAATTTATGTATCCTCCAATATTCTAATTTAAACAATGAGAGTTCTTAAATAATAAATCAAATATATAATAAAAAAAAAATCAGTCTAATGAATTTCACCCATACAAAAAAAATAGAAAGATATTTGGAATATAAAATATCGTTCGAAGAAAA